ACACACACACACACACACACACACACACACACACACACACACACACATATGCTCCCCACTTACCCCACAGGATCCAGTGAGTTAGAACCCTAATCTTACAAGCTTACCAGCCCTTCTGTAAATAATGGCTGTCGGGACAAGGTGACTTTGGGGTAAGAGTTTCTCATTTCAGGGGAAAAACACAAAACTGTTTTTACTGTTCTCCCTCTTCCCAGGATCAGGGCCCTCAGTAAACATTCAAAGGCCTGTGTACCATTAGTCTTTGGGGGACTTAGCCTCCCCCATGAGTCGGCTCCAAGCAAATTAGAGAAAATAAGTGATGCCAGGGCTTTTGAGCACTCACGTATCACCTGGTGGCCTCGCATGGGGTTAAAGGGAAGGGACGGATCCTGAGGTTGAGCACAGACTGTGACATGCCTTTAGACCAGGAAGCTGGAGGCACCATACCTTTGCAGGTGAAACATTTTATGTGGAAATGTTTGGTCTGGACCCGAAGCACTTCACCCTTGCATGGCTCCCCACATTTATGGCAGTGAATGACAGGCTTCTCCGATGGGTGGTGAGGGTCCTGAGGGTGCGCCACTGGAAAAAACCAACAAGAGACCCACGTGAGTAGAAAGCATTCCTACAAAAGGGGTCAATTACGGGCATACGTAAATAGCCGCATAATTATGTTACCCAATGAGCCACACGTTGTTTCAAGAAGGATGAACTGAGCCCCTCCCCTGTGCCATAATCATGAGGATACACTGAAAAATAAGAGAGCTGTGGCTTTAACAGTCCAGGGGGGAAAACACTTGACTTGGCCCTCTGGGAACCAGCAACCCTCTTTCTTCCCCCCAAACCTCTGTAGGACTACATAACTGGGCCATTAAATATATGATCTTGTATGGTTTAATATTTTGTAATATGTATTTGTCAAATGTCTTTATTTTGGTCTAGAAACACCTTTCAGTAAGGGGTTCACTATTGACTGTAAGCTCCTCAAGGATGGGGACAATTTCTTACAGTTCGTATCTTCCCCCCCTTTTGTATTCTACTTCCTTCCCCCAGCTGGTCAGGGCACAGCAGAATGCTCATGCCCCAAAGGAGCTCAGCAAAGGTTTATTGACTCATTAGACAGCATGTGCTGGCTAGTTTCTCATCTGGTCTACCAGAGTCACCCCTGACCTTCCTCTGGCAGCTCATTTCACCCGCTGGAGGCCTATGAGGAGCCTCCAGCCGTGTGCACATGACCTGATACACACAGTGTGGGCGCTAACTTTTAAAAAAAAGAAGTTACCAATAACTATGGGGGTCTCTCCGAACCTCAGTTTCGTTTCCTGTAAAACAAATGGGATCGGTTGGACCAAGGGACTGCCAAGGTCTTTTCAGGCTCTAAAGTCATATGCTGCGTCTCACTGGCATTGTTCTCCCCGTTTCCAGAGTTTAGCCTTCAGAACGTGGAAGTTATTGACACTGTCCTGGCCCGTAAAAGGCAGAGAGATGACACTGTGGCCCGGAGCTGACCGGAGCTGACCAAGGGTCTTCATTTAACCCGCAATTTCTCCAGCCAAAGAATGCAGAGAGGCACTTTTTGCTAGTTTTTTTCCCCCCCTGATTTGAGTCCTCGGGAGGAAGAAGCATGTGATATACAGAAATGTATGACGTAAGTATCCACAAACGCAGGAGATGGGCTAAGAACAGCGAACCTAAAAATTAATCAGCCAACACAAAGAACAAAGATGACTTTTTTTCCTGCAACGGCAAAGCCAGCTAGGACAGGGGAGAGCTGTGGGCAGATATGCTGACGCTTGATTTAGAGAGCCCGTTACAGCAAGGAGCTCGCAGGACACCACAAGTATAATGCTGCATTGTTTCTCTCAGACCACTCCCACGTTCTCATTTCACCTGGAAAGAGGAAGAACGACCCAGTCCAAATAATCCATTACTAGCTGAGTTGTGAGCAACAAGGTGGTCCTTGGGAGATTTTGACTAGGAGCAGGTGTGGTTTCAGGTTAAACACCTGATCCGAATTCTCTGCCCCGGACCTGGAGAGCGTCAGCAAAGGTACCACCATTGTGACACGCCTGCGTGGCCTTCTCTGCCCCCTGGGATCGCTCTTGGAAATGTGTATTTACACCAGAAGTCAGCGTTACCAAAGGCAATTAAGGAGGGGCATCCTTTCCAGATTGCTAAAAAACAAAACAAAACAAAACAAAACAAAACAAACCACTGACTTTTAAAGTGATGTGTAACAAGGCCCCGAATCTATTTACCTGGGCATTAAAAAAAAAAAGTTTCGCTTGCGGCGCCTGGGTGGCTCAGTCAGTTAAGCATCCAACTTAGGCTCAGGTCATGATCTCCCGGTTCATGAGTTTGAGCCCCCATGAGGCTCTCTGTTGTCAGCACAGAGCCTGCTTTGGATCCTTTGTCTGTCCGTCTCTCTCCGCCCCCTCCCCAGAATAAATAAATAAACTCCAAAAAAAAAAAAAAAAAAAAAGATTCTCTAGCAATATTTGCTTTAAGTACTGGTGGAAAATATGACTATGAATTTTTGTTTTGTTTCTTAATCCTGCTTCCAGTGAGAATGGAGGAAAGGGATATTTATTGAGCATCTATCCACTAAATGGCAGGCATGGTGCTGAGTGCTGATGCACAAGTCATTCTATCCCATCGTCACCACCGCCCCCGCCTCTCGGTGATGTGAGTAATACTGTTCCCATTTGACAGATAAGCAAATGGAACAAGTTCTTGAGCAACCTGCTCAGGGAACAATAAGTAGAAGCTGGAAGCTCGACACCCAGGCCTTTCTGCCTCCCAAACTTACGCTTCTCCGGTACTATTTGTCTGAGTTGCAAACTGTTATGAGTCAGGCAAGGATTTATTTATCCAGGCTCCAGGGCGGTTCTGAAAGCGGCAACTAGGACTTGGCTTATGAAGGGAACAAACATAGTGTGTGTGATAAAGTATCGCTAGTGGGCGTGGCACCCGGTGAGAATCTGCAAAGCAGCTCTGCGGACCCCCTGAATCAGAACCCCCGGGGCCATATATCCAAAAATTCCTCAGCCCCACTGAACGAGGGGTGGGAATTAGGGATCTATCATTTTAGTAAGCTCCTCGGGTGATTCTTACCCACATTCTAGTTTCAGAACGATTTTCCTCTAGAATTGAAACAATACGGATAAGCAAGTTACAGGAGAGTTAACTGAAAAAAGCAATCCATAAGACCATCCTCCTCAGAAACAATACTGGAGCAGAGGGGATCTCTTGGCCATAAGGGAGAATGCATTTTTTGGATACTGTTGTGCAGTTTCTCTTGATGCTTGAATTCCTTATAGCTAAGCAAGTAAGCCGTGCTGAGTAATGATGAGGGAAGGAAAATATCATTTCACTTCTTGGCTTTCCCCTTTGTCTCAACGAAGGTGCCAGACCGACTGCCGGCACCAGCCACAAAGGTCAGAATTGGGATCAGCATCTGTATTTTGCAAGCATTTCCCTCTGAAAATATATATTACACCATGTCCTCCTGCCCAGAGGTGACCTTTGTTCTCACCCAGAGATGAGCACAGCCTACATCGTGTCTACTTGCCTTTCCATCATACATCAGCCTCGGTAGGCAGACACATATCAGAACAACGCCCTTGTGAAGATCTGGGCTTTCCTTATTAGAGAATGCAGAATCCAAAGACCAAAAGAAGAGTGTTCATTTCACCCCAACAACATCGACAAAAGAATCTCGCTCCTTTTTAAAGAAGAATAAAGAAGTTCGTTTTACCCAAGTGCCTTTGGCAGTTTGGTTAACACCACATGTATGTTCGTTGGCTCAAGTCTACACGTTTTGAAATAATGCTGAGTCAGTCGCGATATGGCAATGACAGTAATTCCACCCTCCTCTTAACACCTGCTGGCTCTGTTGCTAATTTTTACGCCACTGAGCCATCTTTCAGAGCCTGGCTGGTCCCTTGTTCTACTGATAGGGAGACTGGGGGGCAAAGAGCTTACATCCCTTGCCCAAAGTTACTAGCAAGTTACTGGCAGAGTCACATCTAACGAGCTTCCTGACTCTTTCTACTGTACCAAGTCAATGATTTACCCTGGAACTTTCGTGGACATGATTAAAATCTTTCATGGCTCATCAGTTCGTTGCTAAAATAAGAATAGGACAGGGGCGCCTGGGTGGCTCAGTCGGTTAAGCGTCCGACTTCGGCTCAGGTCATGACCTCGCGGTCCGTGAGTTCGAGCCCCGTGTCGGGCTCTGTGCTGACAGCTCAGAGCCTGGAGCCTGTTTCAGATTCTGTGTCTCCCTCTCTCTGACTCTCCCCTGTTCATGCTCTGTCTCTCCCTGTCTCAAAAATAAATAAAATGTTAAAAAAAAAAATTTAAATAAGAATAGTACAATGAAATACCAAAAGCATGGTCGCATACTTTCTGAACAGTGAGGAAATATATATGAAGAGCCACGAGTCCATTTGCCCATAAAGGTAAAGGGATTCCTCCACTATGTGACATCCAGTTTGGAGGGATTCTGGCTACTCAGATAAATAGCCCACTGCAAGCTGAAAAGTTTCACGCTGCCTGTCACAGGCAGACAAGGCAAGTCAGTCACATCTCTGAAACTCCATTAAGGACAGAAACCAAAGTGCCATTTTTGGATGCATTACTTGTGAAAATGCCTATGAGATACTGCAGGTGGTGAGGCTGGGGGACCGAGATCCGTAAGGCAATCCCAGTAACCTTCAGTGTCCCCAAGCAGAGGCCACTACAGGTATTAAGAAGGCCACAAAGACTAGGGGAAGTCCTTCCTTTTAATCTACAACCAGCCTCGTCTTGCCCAACAGACCAAGGTACTGGACCCCCAGAAACAGAACATCTGAGAAAGCGTATCTGAAATAGAAATCTCCTCAGCAGGTGACAATCACAAACCCATGACAGAGTACACAGCGTGAATCATGACTTGTCCCGGATTATCTAAGACATTCAGAACCCTCTCCTGGGTGCCCTCCTCTCCCAAAGGCCCCAGCACTCCCTTAGCCAGCCTTTGAAACTACAACGCTTTGTGCCTGATGGCTTTCTGAGCGCTCACATCTGCATTTTGTCATTTCACTCTCAAAGAGCACTAGGAGGCAGGAAGGACAGGAACGGTCAACCCCGGTTAACAAATGGGCAGACAGAGACTCAGAGGGATGAAGTGACTCCGCCACGGTGACACAGCCAAGAAACGGAGTTGGCCGCCAACGAATGCAGTGCTCTCTACACCCAAACAGTCCCCTGATCACTGCCACTCGGAACCCTGTGATCATCCTTGATTCCATTCATGTCCCACTAAATTCTCTCCGCTGTCTGAGAGACAGTGCCTGAGCACCCCCTTCCTCTTGCCACCCAGATCCTGCCCTTCACCCCTTTTTCTCGGAGTGTGGAGAGTTTTCTACTCCCTGGTTCTTCTCCAATGTGACCTGCAAAGAGGTGGCACATAAATCCCCACTAAGTGTGGGCTGTGCTTGGTGACTTCTTCCAACAAGGGCAGTAGGGACAGGAGGGAAAGAGGAACTCTGCAGTGGGAAAATCTGGTGGGCACTACCTCAGCCAGGTGCTCAAGGTCA